CATACGCAAATTCCAACAACTTAATCTTGGCGGTCTCGTTTTGGCCTCGTGTCCACTTCAAGATTTGAAAGATGCGCTAGGGGTAAGAACCTAGTTCGCTCATACTCTAGTTCGCTGCGGATGAAGGGGCGTGTCAGGCAGTGTGAGTGTGCCACGGCGTCAAACCCAGTTCTCTGCCAGTTGTTGAAGGGAGTATGCGACAACAACTGGCACATAATGAACGAATGCGAATGGTATGATCAGTCTTGTCACTTGCTCGCTTCACAGCTGGTGAAGAACAGGTATGAAACCGCGCCGAACTCATCCCGCCTGACACAACCCTCCGTACGCAACTAAAAGTTTCGGTTTTTTCATCGCATAATTTCTGAATTTGCGTTTCACCGTTCAGATCCCTCTTGGGGATTGGACTATGGTGCGCCTTCTCGTCGAGACTTTGAAAGCTTTTGGAGCAAACGTTCCGGGTTTGAAATATGACAAGGTATGTTCTATTCCTCTTCGATGTGTATGGAGCACTGGTTTAGCATAGCTGCCTAAAGGCTGCATTCATGCCGGGCGGCAGCGTCTACCAGCGATCACCTGCGTTTCCAGCGTTAGCCAGCGCCAGCGACTAGGAAAAAGCAATATCGATCTAGCGAACGCCAGCGTCTACCGGCGTCGAGGAGTAGAGTGTATGGGGAAGTAGAAGGGTAGCAGACCGCTGGATTAGGCGTAGTGTTGTGCAGCCGCTCCATAGAGCTGCTAACGAACAGAATCATGCAATTTAATGTACGGTGTAGTCTAGTTGTACGGTGCGGTTGCACACGCCACAATTTCACGACGCCTAATCCAGCTGCCTGCTGCCTTCCTACTTTCTCATTCTCTGCTGCTGAAGGCTGTTGTACGCTGGCGGTCGCTCGAAACGCTGGAGATCGCTGGTGGGCACTGCCGCAAAGTATGAACGCAGTCTAAATCATTTATCAGCCTGTCTACCTGTCTTGGTTGAAACATTTAAACCTCTCCTCACCCTGGTAGGGGGAGAGGTTGCTATTTGTTGGCCAAACTCACTACATTCAAAAGCTGCTTAGCTCATCGTGCAGCCTGTGCTATGAGAGAATAGCTCTGAGTTTTGAGAATGTAAAACTAAAATGTGGTTCATCTCGGTTTTTGTGTTCTGTACCAAAAAATGCATTCCTCTCATACTCTGCACCTCTTTTACACTTGTAGAGAAAGGCGTTGACGTTACCTGAAGAGGACGAAGATGTCGCAGATGTCGAAGTTGAAGTTACTCGTCGTGATACGATCGTTCACTCACCATCTAACGTGCTGCCTTCGGAACAACGAAGAAGGTTTGATAATCTTCTGCTTCTTTTATGATCCAGTTTATTTCCAAAATTCAGATCGATGGTGGCCTCAACAGAGATGAACAGCGATCACAAGTGGCTCATGGAGAGTCTTTCAGGAATGGATCTAAGTAAGTAAAAGGAATGGTTTGTGTAGGAGACGTTACTTCTACTATATACGAATCGTTTTAGCTCAAACTGAAGGTGACCTCGATTTGGCACCATCTTCTGGAAATTCGGTGCGATTTGGTGATGCTCTGGAAGATGGTTTAGCTTCCGATGCTGATAGCACTGAATCTCGCTTCGGAAGCCGAGAGAATCTCCTGGACCCAGAACCGATTCTAAGTCGGAATTCCAGTACAAGCAACGGAAGGTGAGGGTACAGTTGCTACAGAATATATTTGCGAAATCTATTTTTAGAGTAAATCTGCGCTCCACTTTTTGAAATCTAGGTTGAAATCGCGACTAGCTAGAAACTTGTTTCCGGTGTCTATTCAACCACCTAAGCACGAACTTCGGGCGGAGGTGGATGTAGTGACAAGTGGCGCGCTTACCACTCGCGCGGCGCCGGGTTCGAATCCCGGGTCGACTCCCGCCCAGGCCAACCAAGCCTTCTACCCTCCGGGGACGGTAAATTGGTACCAGATTCGTCTGGGAGGATAAAACACTGTACATCGGCTGGCCACCGCAAGTCATTGTATAGGCCACATCGCATTCAATAAGCCACTACGATTCTGAATGGAAGTAGAATGCGTGCCGCATCCCACAAAGGGATTGATCAACGGCGAAGACTTTATCCTTTTTATCCTTTAAGCATGAAAGTCAAGTTCATTTGACACAAAAATGCCGAGCACCCGCATCGTAGACGCTACAGTACACATCTAGTTCGACGAGTACTTGTCTTGAAAGTGAGGTTGCCCCTCTAAGCACGAATATCGCGCTAAATTTCGCATGGAACCTTTGTCACACATTTGGGAGGAGATGACTCGATAAAAAGATGAAGCCTGTCGTTCATTAAACCTTTTTGGGATGCGGTATGCATTTTGTCTTTAGAGACGCCGTGGCTTGTTGAATGCGATGTGGCCTATTCATTGACTTGAAGGGCGCGGGGGCAGCCGATATTCAAGTCAAGTTATCCTCCTAAACGAGTTTCCTACCAACTTACCGCTCCGTGGGCAAGGAGCCTTGACTGTCCCAGGCAGGACCTCGAAATTCGACCCTAGGACCGCACGCGTGGCAAGGGGGCGAGCTGTGGCGCGGGGACCTATGGTTTCCGCCCCAAACGAGGCCGCAGGGAGCCATCGACCCATTTGGGCGAGTATTCAGTGGTCTCGGTGGCTCCAAGTCAAGGTGGCGATGTCTATAGCTCGGAATCCGGACATCCTCGACCCACGAAGATATTCTTGTTGGAAGGGTTCAGATTATCTTGGCGAACCGATTTCAAGAGAAATAGAGCCCAAATTTCAAAAGAGTGGGACAGCAGAGGGTAAGCAGCGCAGTCTTGCGAAATGATGTGAATGAAGCGAATTACTGTTTCTGCCATCATTCCTCTCCTTTCTGCGCGGTTAAGAAACGGTTGTTATCTGTTACCACGACATTGTTCTGATGCAGCTTATTTAGCCTTAGGAATCGGACTTCGTACAGGAATTCTCCGCATTACGGAAGAATGAGCCGGTAGGCGGATGTTGAGTGTGCATGTTGATAACACAGAGTTATTGGGTTGATCGAAGTCTTGCGATACTCATGACATGATTTTGACCTTATTTTATTCATCCTTTTTGTTAGACGGATCAGGAGCAGTTCGGCGACGAGGAGGGGAGGGGCATTTTGTACTTTCGCTACTTCCCGTCGACGCGTGAGTTTACAGCAGTTGACAGGAGTTAACAGGTTTCACCATGGTGCCTCAATAGTCTTGCTCGAGCTTTACAAAAGTTCACAGATTTTATCAGAAGGATACCTGTAAACTTAGTGAGGCAGCGAAAATGCAATATGCCCCCGCTCCCGTCGCCGAACGGCGCCAAAGGCTCGTCTTCGCTGCGCGTACGAGCACCGGCGGAAAGCTACTCGTTTGTACTTTGCTACTGCCGTCCACGGTGGATTCAAACGTCAACGAGACGGCGACTTAGAATTCACTCAGCCGCATTCAAGATACTCTGTGGTAGGCAGCGTTCAGACATCGCAATAGCGCGCGTCGACGCGCTGTAACGCGCTGTAACACCCACGATTGCAACAGCGCTCAAATCCTATAGACACGAACGCAGCCGCAGACGGAAGAAGGGAATCGATCGGCGCCGCTTTTGTGTTGAGAGAGGGCATGTGACAAGAGAATCGTAATTCACCGCGCTGGTGAGCGTCGCGTGCGACGTCGCGCCCGCAAATGACGATGGTTCCAGGTAGTAGATGGCGACAACAGGCAATTCAGAAAAAAAGTCATGAATGTCTACGATGACGGGGTCTACATGAAGTCCGGTGCTCCAATCGACAAGTTAACACGAGTTAAGAAAACGCCGCGCCCATCGCCGCGCGGCGGAGCGGCAAATTGCGACTATTTTGCCCGTCTCCCACGTAGAGGGTAGGGGAATCGGAGGGTACGCGTTGTCCAGCCACGCAGTCTGGTATCGATCGGCACTGCCAGCTAGGGTGGCGCTTATTGATTCCCGTCTGCGGCTGCGTTCTTATCAATATGGATCGAGCACTGTTGCAATTTATTACAGCGCTTCGTCGCGCGTCATCGCGATGTCTCGACGCCACCTTCTGGCAAGTGCACCGCCCCATCTTGCGGCAGGCCCCCTTCTGATCGTGACAGCGCGCAATCAGGAAGCACTCGAACCTTGCTCTTACCGTGATGACTGCGGATATGAACGGAAACGTACTTCAAGAAATCAGGCAGCCATAATCGGCAAATCCCAGTATGGGCCGGTCATGAGAGTCTGATCGAGCTGTATATAACCCCTGGATCCCCGTCGACAGCGACCGCAACCGGAATGCTACTCGAACCTTGCTCTTACCGTGATGACTGCGGATATGAACGGAAACGTACTTCAAGAAATCAGGCAGCCATAATCGGCAAATCCCAGTATGGGCCGGTCATGAGAGTCTGATCGAGCTGTATACAACTAGCCTTGATTTGTCACGTTTGGCGGACCAGAGGTGAGGAGTCGCGTTGTGGTGATGTCATGCAGAGTACATGACAGTGAAACCACGCGGCGTCGCGCGCGACAAATGCAAATACCATATGCTTATGTTCGGCGCGCTAACAATATTTTTTGTTATCATGACACTACTTTTTACTTTTTTTTACTTTGCCGCTACTTTTCCAACTGGACGTTCCATGGGACCCCCACAATGCGACAATGAGTACTTCCTTGATAATATCCTGTTCACAAAGCACTGTGACTGCCAAATGATCAAGGAATCAGCTAATTAGTTAAATTGGTTCGCGAGCAGAATCTGTACACGTTTTCCTGCACCATAAATGCTGTGTAATCACTCGAGTTATGCGAATAAAACAAAACCTGACGGTACTGCCAGTCTAAAATGCGAATAAAACAAAACCTGACGGTACTGCCAGTCTGAAAAGTGTAGCAAACACTATTTATTAACACAACAAGTTTATCGCGAGCACGCGCTTCTTCGTAAGCACATGGGGGTGCGCAGATTGCCGTGCACGCTACGTCGCGTGGTCCTGAAGACCATCTCGCTGTCATACAGGGCAAAGATCCGGCGACAAAACTACAACAGTAATTTTGTTTCTGGATTTTTACTGGCAATCTACCGCTCGCTCTCAGATTAGAAGAACGCGTTTGATTAGCGGGCTACCAGTCGCTGCGCGGGTTCACATTCTTAGGTCGTGGAAGTGCTGATCAAATGAACATGCTAGACATTGAATATTGCCGTTTACTTTAAGAGTTTGATAGTTATGATTCAAGGACATGGCATCGTCGTTGACGTCAGATGATGATCATCAGATGACTGTCATGCGCCGTGATGGTGCTGTACCTATTGAACGGACACAGCTGGCGAACCTTTTCAGCTGTGAGAATGGTAGTGCTTAAGACAAACAATGGTCTTCTACTTAAAGACAGTGAGCACGATTGGTGGAGGTGGGTAGTTGTTGCTAGCGTGATTGGTGGAAGGGAGGAGTGGGCTGTGGCTTCTGCCAGCCCTTCTACTGATGACAGTGGCAACAACGGCCAGCACACAGCTGTCGTGCCCATTGCGTTATAGTGCGGAGTATACATGACATGATTTCATTTGATTTAAAAAAACCGCCATTGTGATTTCTTGCTATTTTCTTATTTATCATTCGACATTTTCTTCTCTAATTATTTATTCCGAAATGGACAACAACTGGGTTCATTTGGTGGGTAAATTGCTAAAATTTTGCTTTGCGATTTATAATTGTAGAAATTTCATGTTGTTAATTACCTCGAGTGCTTATATGGGGTTAATGCGAGTGATTATTGCCTTAATAGAGCCTAGAAGATGTAACAGATCATTTATACGCAACAAAGTGTCCAGATGTGGTTGTGACCTTCAAGGGACACCACTTTTAAGAACAAGAATAGTTGATACCGCTACATAATCGCTTATCTCAAAGATTAGGAACTAAATAAATGGCCTTTGCGCGCTATGCGATGTCTAAACGTTCTGGCAAGGAAGGGCTCCCCTCTAAACTCCATATCCCGGGGACCGGGAGGGCGTGACTGCGTACTTCCTTTGGACGTGACCTAAGAGAGTGTTCTAGTGGGATATTTCCACTCGGGACAGTTCTACTGTCTTGTGTAGGACAAAGGCTTTGATAGCAATTGCCCCGAAACGGCATCGTACCAAGGCAAAGCCGCTCCCACAATCAAAAGAAGCGCGCGGCCACGCCCCTCCTATCTCGGGATATCCAATTGACATACTAGCATGTTCTCGTGGTTACGACCAGTTTGATACTTTGAGTATTTTTCTCATCAGAAATAGTAGTCGTAGGTAGTTGTGCGGCATCAGCTACTAGAAGGGAAGGGAGATTACAGTCGTGGATTCCCTGAACGATGGGCGTGTCAGGGGGGCGTGGACTGCGAGGCACCAGAGCGGCCTTTTTTTCAATGATACCTGTCCGCGCAGCGGCTGGCGGGAAGGTCGACCTTGACCAAACTCCCATACATACCTAGGTTTGCAGGGATCATATTAAGGTCATTCTTTTTCGCTGCTCAGGAATTCGTCTCAGAGGCGAATACGACCCCCCCCCCCGAGCGACCAAGTACGACTTTTCGTTGATGAGTTTTAAGGGTTTCCTACGATGCGAACACGGCTGTCATCATAATGTACAGTTTTAAAGGCCAGCTCCCATGGAACGGTGATGAGAAGGGTGCCCATTGTGAGCATGGGATCTAAAGTCTTATAATTTAATGGCCAGTAGTTAGTTTCCCCCCATGGCCAGTGGTCCTAATCCTTTGACAATGAGAATATCGCTATTTATAATGAAACCTAGACTTGCAAATTTTTGCGAAGTAATCTCTCACTGAATCATGACAGTTCTCTAGTCAATAACTGGTTGCTCATTCAGTGTCCATGGCCAATCATTGTCTTGTAAATATCACAGTGATTAATAAATACGTTAATGATGTATGATATTTGATTGATGGATTATTCGGTATTCCTGAAGAAAGGCTTAGGGACCGAGACATTGTGACGGCGCAGTTCGGCGACGGTGGAGGGAGCATTTTGCATTTGTTGCTTCACTAGTTCCGGTTTACAAGTCTCACTCTGGTGAAACCTGTGAACTCTTGTGAAGCTGGAGCAAGCTCGTCAAGCCATCATGGTAAAACCTGTCAACTCGAGAAGAGGCTGTCTAGATAGGTCGACACGTCGAAAGTAGCGAAAGTGAAAAATGCCCCCCCCCCCCGCCCTTCCCCTATGGCCCAACAGCGTTCGTTGTGACATAAAATCTTGAAGAATCGTTGAACTAGGAAAAGTCGAAGGAAGTTGTTACGGTATAAGACTCGGGGTCCTTCAGTATAATCCAATAAATATGAATGTTGCAAGGGCTCGTTTCTGAGCGTTTGAGCGTAAGGAGTGGTCGCTTTGGTGTGGTTGTCTGTAGTTTACGTTTATGCTCTTGGGGCTCGGTTTTTTCTTTTTTTTATGCAAAGTAGGTAATTGTTGGTGAAACTTGAGCCAAATTTTAGGTTGTCCGGAAAGTTCTCAGCGTTTTGTGTTACTATTTTTGTACATTCATTGCTGATTAAAAACTCATTCTCCCTTGCGTCTCAGTAGTACATCCTGAAGAGAATTTTTTGCGCTATCTGATGGTATAATTGCCGTTTCACCATTGCTTGATAAACCCCTTTTTCAAGAAGCATGTCAAAAGAGCACTTCGGACGATATTTTTCTTCAACTACAAATTGGGTCAATCCGCAGTCGAGACAGCTCACAAATTAACCAGGTGTGGGGGCCCAATAGTGTTGGAGAAAGCACCGTGCGACAATGGTTCAACAAATTTCGTTCTGGAGATTTCAGCCTTGAAGATGAACCTCATAGCGGTCGACCTAAAGCAATATCTGACGAGGATTTAAGGGGATTTTGGAGGCTGACCCATCCCAAACAGTTCGAGAGATTGCAGAAAGTTATCACAAGAATGCTGAGTTGTGGGCAAAAGTCGTGCCCCAGGCGGGAGTCGAACCCGCACCTCACGCTTTCCGAGTGCGCTATCCGTTACGCCACCAGGGCCGCTTTTACCCTCTCAGCTTAACGGCTTTTATGCCGTAGCCTATCAGCACTCACACGTTTAACTTGGTGAGCCGGTCAGCCGTAATCGATGGGATATCGGCATGAAACCGCGAGGCCTAAGGCTTTAGATGTTTTTGAAGCTGTTTTGTTATGATAACGCACTCGCCCGGAAAGCGTGAGGTGCGGGTTCGACTCCCGCCTGGGGCACGACTTTTGCCCACAACTCAGCATTCTTGTGATAACATTCGGAACGCGTACTGCGGCGTTAAACAGCAGTTATCATAACAAAACAGATTGCAGAAAGTTAGGCGTTGGCAAATCCACTGTTGCGGATGGTCTGAAACGCATTGGGAAGGTGAAAAAACTCGACAAGTGGGTGCCCCACAATTTGAGTGACCGGCAGAAATTGGCACGTCTCGAGGTTTCTTCTTCACTGCTTTTGCGCAACAGAAACGACCCGTTTTTGAACCGAATTGTCACCTGTGATGAAAAGTGGATCATGTATGATAACAGGAGACGTTCCGGACAGGATTCCGACGAACCACCGAGGTAATTTTCAAAGCCGAACCCTCACGAAAAAAAGATTCTGGTCACGGTTTGGTGGTCATCGGCTGGTGTGATCCACTATAACTTTTTATCACCAGGCCAAACCATCACAGCAGAACCACTGTGAAGGAATCGACGAAATGTACCGAAAATTGCGTCAGCTGCAGCCAGCACTTGTCAACAGAAAGGGTCCGATTCTTTTGCATGACAACGCCCGCCCACACGTTTCACAAATCACTATCCATAAATTGAACGAATTGGGGTTGAAGTTCTACCTCACCAGCCATATTCCATATTCTCCAGACGCCATATTCTCCTATGCCATATGCCTCCATATGCCATATTCTCCAGACCTTTCACCAACCGACTATCACCTTTTCAAACATTTTCAGAACTTCCTTGCTGGAAAATACTTCATCAATTAGGCCATCCAAAAAAAGCCTTCGTGGATTTCGTGGATTCTCGACCACCCAGTTTTTTCTTTGGTGGGATTTGTCGACTGTCTTCACATTGGCAAAAGTGTGCTGATTCGAATGGTGCTTATTTGGATTAAATCCGATGAGTATTAAGAAAGTTATGATCGTTTAAAGTGAAACACTCGAAACGCTGAGAACTTTCCGGACAACCTAATAAAAACAGTCAATCTCCTGCACAGCAGTGCTCAATTTCACTGTCATAATACTAAGGTAAGATTGATGAATGGTGGGTCGATCGAGAGCAATTCTTATGACAAGTTGACTGGCGCAGTGTGTCAATGCGCTACACGGGGAGGTTTTCGAGCCTATCACCGCCAAGATATCTCTTATCTGGTCTTTCCAAACCCTTGGTGGATTGGTTGTGACTGGGTAGGAGAAGAGTGCGCTGGTGGGTAATGCGAGCGATGCCGCACCCTACGCGAGTTGTCCTTCCTGAACGTTTGAAGTTGAGCGTTAAAGGGAGGGAAAATTAGATTCCACTCATGATGGAGCTTGAAGGGAAGGCTGAACTCGATGTCGCCCGTCCTAGAGTCTGAGCGCTTGAATTAATATAAGTTCCGCGCTCCTAAACGACAAACTGATGCGAGAATCTGCCGTGGATCGCCGCACGATACGCCACTCGTGACGACGCGACAAATTACGATTGTCTCTTCCGTCTCCCTTGCGACTTCTAACCCCCTATAACGCGCCACAGGCTGCATTCATATTTTCGTCAGCGTCCACTAGCGTGTACCAGCGACCACAAGCGTTCCGAGTGTCTGGCAGTGTGAAGACTAAGAAAGTATAGATATCGACCCAGCTTCTGCCAGTAGAGGAAGTAAAGAGTATGGGAAAGTAGGAGGATGGCAAACAGCTGGAATAAGTGTCGTGAAACTGCGGTGTGTACAACCGCATCTTGAAACCGCATTATACCACCGCACAGCAAGATGCCATAATTCTGTACTTTAGCAGTTGTGCGGTGCGGTTGCACACGCCACAATTTCACGACGCCTAATCCAGCTGTTTGCTACCCTCCTACTTCCCCATACTCTCTACTCCCGGTCGCTGGTGAACGCTGGTAGACGCTGGCAGACGCTAGATCGATATCTACACTTTCCTAGTCGCTGACGCTGCCGGACACTCGGAACGCTAGTGATCGCTGGCGGACGCTGCCACAACGTGTGAAACGCAGCTTCACCAGTCCCTAGCACTTAGTACCTCTTTTCGTCACCTTTTGCATTCCTACTCCATACACATTATTATATCTTGGGCCCAACGTCCCACGGTTGCTGTGGCTTGTGTTATGGGTTAGATGACCCCGTTTCTCATGGGATCTTACCAGCTGTTATCACTTCTTTCACCCACCGGTAATTTTCTTGCCCGATCTTCTATGGCTCATCTTGGGATTAAGGCAGTGGGCACGATGGCTGGAGGCTGGCGGTCGCTGCCAACGTCATTGGTGGAAGGGCTGCTAGAGGGCGTTCCCGATACAGCCTCTTTATCACTTCCACCAATGACGTTGGCAGCAGATACTCCCAGTCATCGTGCCAACTGCTTTTAAGTTCTCGCAGTTGCTAGCACAGGGCCATGAATTCTGAGACAGACAGACAGACAGGCAGACAGACAGACAGACAGATAGATAGATAGACAGTCACACACATCCACTCTTTGCACATTACGTGATCTATCTACTAGGCAGGGCACATCGTTGTTGGGGAATTCTCAAGAGAGGGGGTGGTCGTATGCGGCCGCCAGGAGAGAGGGGGGGGGTCGTATTTGGGCTGGAAATTATATGCCCCCTTCTCCCCTGCCCGCCCTTTTTCCCTTCCCGCTAGATGGCTCGATTCGATGAGGAGCTACAGAGGGTCGGAGGGGGGGGGTCGTACCAACCCCCCCCCCCCCCCAAAAAAAAAAGGGGGGAGGGGGGGAGGGGTTGTACAGACTCGACTAAAATCTCCAACCAATGATGTGCCCTGCTACTAGGACGGCCCCAGCTGGTTTTGTTTCTTTTCCAGCTAATCAAATGCATGGCACCACGCTTGGGAAGCCACAGAACACCTGAAAAGAACCCTACAATGCTGACTGCAGTCCTACATGTCGTGAGACTGGTGTCCTTGTTGTTAACCTACGTGAATTACCAAACTTGAATAGAACAGGCTCTCTCGCAGTCAACTTTCATGGCTGCAATCATTCAAAAGAAGTCCGATAAAGTTCCTTCAGAGTAGTAATTTATAGCACTTATAACATGATACGTCACAGTGAATTATGTCTCTCGTTGAGGTCACCCTTTTTAGGGAAGCTGTCGCAGAGGCTCAATTCGCACTGAATAATTTCCCGGGTTTTTGACCAAGTTTCACAGCAATTTCAGTAGCTCTGGTGACAATAGAAAAACGGCAATTGCCCAACGAGTGAACCACTCATATGAAGGTCAAATGCAGAAATGGACGAGAGCAGTTGTACAGGTTCAGTGAACAGGCAAGGATCAGGTAGAACTGCTAGCACTCTCTACCGGAGCAAGGCATACCATCGTCGAGAACTCTCCAATAGGAGGGGCTAGACGGTTGAGGTTGGGGGGGGGGTCGTTATGAGATTTTTTTAAAATTTTTTTGAAATTTTTAGAAACAGTTCGAGTTCTTCGAGGAACTTTTCCCAGTGGTACAAGTCTTCATACCTTTGTTAATTTATGCAAATAGTGGACCAACGAGATCTTCAGATATAAGGGTCCCAGGCACGATTCAACTAGCAGCACCTGAGCCCAAAACCTCTAGAAAAATTTCTGCTGAAAAATTGCCGGTAGGGGTTACTCAGTGCCCCGATCACGAATGTGACGTCCGTTTCTGACGCCGGCGGTGTTTGACTCCATTTGGCACCATTAGGTGTCAATTTGGCCACCACTTTTTTCATCAAAGGGCGCCAGAATGGTGCCGCGCCAACTCACCTCTACCTTTTTCACCAAACTTCAGGAAAAGTTACATACTAGGGCTTTTTGTTGGTCTGGTCACGAATATGACGTTCACTACAGGTCCCAGCGCCAACTGGCGCCATTGTTGTTTGGTGCTGTCACCTCTTCCACCCAAATTGATGGGAACTTGGATACTAGGGTTATTCGCTGTCCTTATTATTGATATGACATTCATTTTTAGCAGGAACGTTAGCGTAGGGCACAAGGGTTATCAATGCGATGCTGAGGCTGAGCTGGCCTGGAATCACTCCTCCTCCAAGCTACAGCCTTTCCAGAGCGCTACATGGCGCTCATGCCATGTAGCGCTCTGCAACGATGAAAACCAATGTCTTATTTGTGATCGGGCTTCCCCCCCCCTCCTTCAATTGAGCTCGAATGCAGAACAGCTGCGACTTTAGCGAAAAAAGGCGACGGCAGTGCAGGTGGATCCTAGCGCCGAAGTAGCGCCGGTGAAAAAAACTATAGGCACTGTCAACCTTTACTGCCTCAGACATCCGGAACCAAGCCAACTTTCGACCAACTTCAGTTCTATGTGGACAGACTTGGCTTAGCAGTCGTTTCCTGAGTTGGTTTGACCTTTTGATCACGAGTACCACTTTTGCTCGGCTCGAAACCTCCCACCAGGAGGTTTTGAGCCGCCTCAATATGTCAAATCACCTCAATATGCAAGCTTACACGGGTTTTCGAGGGAAAGACTATAGCACTAAATTAGCGCACATTGGCGCCAAATGGCACCGGAGGACAGACGAATGTCATTTTTGTGACCTGAGGAATAAAAGTAAAAAAGGAGATTTCGGGAGCAGAAAGTTGAACAGTGCTAAAATTTTTAGTAAGGGGTCACGAGGGACCGTGTCCACCACTGGTGGCGGACACTTGCTGAGAGCTCGCAAATGCTCCGGTCCGAACGAGCCGTTTTCGAAAAACGCGCCTGGTCGCGAATGGGTTAATAAGGCTTTGAAAATAGTTTCGAACAAAGTATCGTATCGTCGTCCCATCCAGAATCCATCGAGTTATCCGCTGCGCCATCCGATCCGCCGACAGTGAGCATGAGGGGACCGCTGACAAAAACATCACTGTTGCGTCGGTGCATGCCAAGTGTGTTACTACATGATACTTACATTTTGACTTCATTTAAAACTATTTTCGAAGCCTAATTAACGAGCACCTCATAAACTATGCATGCTCGGAGTTACAATCAGAACTGAGCCCATTGAGATAGTTAAAATCGCCCATTCTTGTCAAATTTTTTCACTCAATTTTTGACCTCCCTAGAAACGCATAGCAAAAATGAAACCCATTTTTAAGATCCTTGTATGGACCCCTACAACAAGCAACAAACCATTTCCAAAAAGCGCGCCACGACCTGAAAGACCTCCCTTGTTAGTGGCTTATCCTTAAACTCCATTCCCGTTGTGCTGCCAAGGGGAGTGGTCATGATACCACGCCTTTTCCCAGTGCGAGCTACATACAGTAAGGACTACGTGCGCTACGACAATTTTGACTTATGCGACACAATGAGACACAACTGACAAGGGAATGGTTTGAACTTCCCATGGAACTTTGAATGGAGACCTAGGTACATCGATAGAGCCTCGAATGCTGATTACGAATATGCAGATTAAAAGTGCTACGGGGACCTCCCAGACGAGATCTGGGTGGTCAAAGTTTGAGTTCTGGCTCGTAAGCGCTGCTGATCGATGCTCGGCAGTGCCACCGTGGCCTCGTGGTAATGGTCTCGCTTTCAAGTCAAACGCATGCGGGTTTGCATCCGGTTGGCGCGAAAATTTTTGCTTCGCTCCGTATAAGAGCTTCAACTCTAATTTTCGAAATTCTTCCGAATTTACGGCCCAGCAGGGCAAGTAGATCAAGTACATATACGACGTACTCGATCTAGTATGGATTTGGTCATATCTGCCCTCTCTGAACATATTACCCATCCGACAATTCAAAGTTTTAGCGAGAAATTCGTTCATGGGAGATTTCGACCCCCTGAACACGAATATCACATCCTTCGACGAAAAAACGCTCGTCTGGCCAAATTGCGATTCTGGGCAAAACTTTGAATTGTCGGATGGGTAATATGTTCAGAGAGGGCAGATATGACCAAATCCATACTAGATCGAGTACGTCGTATACTTGATCTACTTGCCCTGCTGGGCCGTAAATTCGGAAGAATTTCGAAAATTAGAGTTGAAGCTCTTATACGGAGCGAAGCAAAAATTTTCGCGCCAACCGGATGCAAACCCGCATGCGTTTGACTTGAAAGCGAGACCATTACCACGAGGCCACGGTGGCACTGCCGAGGCATCGATCAGCAGCGCTTACGAGCCAGAACTCAAACTTTGACCACCCAGATCTCGTCTGGGAGGTCCCCGTAGCACTTTTAATCTGCATATTCGTAATCAGCATTCGAGGCTCTATCGATGTACCTAGGTCTCCATTCAAAGTTCCATGGGAAGTTCAAACCATTCCCTTGTGAGTCTCATTCGTCCCTACTAATTCAACTGACACACGGCGTGAGCTGAGCTCCGCACGGTAAGACCTTTGGTGAGTTGTTAGCTATTACGGGGTTGTTTGGAAGAGATCGGGACACGAGGTCGGAAACGCTAGAGTGGGGAAGGGCGTTTGGTCGGGTAGGTAACAAATTAAAAGCTTCGAGCCATTTTCAGGCCTCTGAAGAAGAGAAGGTCGAAACGTTAGGCCAATAAAAGGTTTCATCTAACAACCTCGTTTGGCAGAAGTGTTTGAACATTCGACAATTCAAAGAGTTTTCGAGAAGGGAAATCGGAAAAAGTGGCATCTGATTCCGAATATCCTCAACGAAGCTTGGCGCTGCATATTTCTAACATCAGACAACGTTTGTGTGCATTTCGTCAATGCTCGGGGGGAGGGGGAGCATCTGCAGTTCTTTGGAAGGCTTTCGCCTTTTCTCCAACGATCTTTCGAGAAAGTTATAGCTTCTTTCAAAAGACTTACTTACTTTACTTTGATGGTCCTTCAGCTGGCTTGATCTTCAGTGGGGACCACAGCTCTTCCATAACGCACGATTTCTGGCGACTTGCATCCAATGTGGTGGACCGCGTTCTCTGAAATATTTCAAAAACGAGTCGGACCAACGCGTTGGTGGTCGTCCCAGAGGCCGTTTTGCGTTCCTTGGGAGCCATTCTGTGACGCGGAGACTCCATCTGTCATCGTTGCGGCGGAGCAAGTGACCAGCCCAGCGGTGTTTGCACTGCGCCATATACTGCAGCGGATCTTTCAATCTCGACCGCTCCCTTAGGTCTGTACTTCGTAGACCTTGTTGCCATTGCTGGCGGCGGCCGACCTTCAAAAGACATCTCTCCAGTGCACGATGCGTAGTTTGCATTGCCTTGGTGATTGTCCTGTTTTCAGGCCAGGTCGCATCGGTTGGCCACATCATCGGTTGGCCATTGCGTAAATCATTCCCAGGTAGGCCACATCGCATTCAATAAGCCACTACGATTCTGAATGGAAGTAGAATGCGTGCCGCATCCCACAAAGGGATTGATCAACGGCAGAGACTTTATCCTTTTTAACATGAAGACGAAGCCACCTTGACCTTGTGCAAGAAGAATAAACCATAAAACCAATAAATCAGGTACCAATGGGATCACTGGCTGACGCCGGCGCTCCTCCTACTGTGACCCGGTTTTAGTGTGCGGTCGCAATAAAATTAAAAAAAGGCTTACATTGCGAAGATGTTCCGTCTGTGATAGGCTACAGAGGGTTGGTTCCAGGCCGACAGTGTGTAGCTTAACTCTTTAAATCTTTCCTTTGTTCACCTTCTCACTCACCTTTGATCGAGTACGTACAGTCCTCTTACGTACCGTCGGGCGGTTCAGTGCGGCTGCGTTTGGCGCGGTGCCAAACCCGCTCTCTCACATTCGCCTTACAAGCATTCACAAGCTGCGTTCGTTTTCAGTGAAGTCAGCTGGGACGTGTTAGAGGAACGGACGCGAGACCAGCCTGTTTCCCATCAATCGTTGCAGCTTCGGAAGTTCAATGAATGGTGGGGAAGGACCTGGCGTCGCGCTAGAGCTCGCGTCCCGTTTACACACCGGACCGAAGGGAGACGGGCAGGAGAATCGTAATTTGCCGCGCCGTCGCGCGCGGCGCACCGTGTGGCGATGAGCGCGGGAAATTTTCAATGTGGGCGTCACGCGGCGACGAGCGCGGGAAATTCAAATTGTGTGTCAGTTTCTCGGTTGGAGCAGTGAAACTCGTGGAAATCGTTGCATGTTTTGAATTAACTTCAACTTTACTTTCACTGAAATAAATTGGAAACAAGTGATGCGACGGTAGCCAAATCAACAGCAAATTAAGATAGTAAGACAATAATAGGAAGAACCTCAGTCAGAAACCTTACGGCTGTCGCAGTAACATTCTTTCTCTTTCCTTTCAATATTCAAATTTGAACAAGCAGGCGGCAGAACTCGTCTCTCCCGCGCGACGTCGCTCGCCACTCTGGCCGGAGCGGCA